ATTATTGTTTTTGACTTTCATTCTTTTACCATAAAAAGATGAATTCACATTAGCAAAATGCACAGTGCCTGACACAGAGTAAATGCTATGTAAACTTTTAAACATAAAAATTTCTAATTTTATGGGCCGGTCCCATAGCTTAGTGGTTAAGTGCGAGCACTCCGCTGCTGGCGGCCTGGGTTCGGATCCCGGGCGCACACCGAGGCACCACTTCTCCGGCCATGCTGAGGCCGAGTCCCACATACAGCAACTAGAAGGATGTGCAGCCATGACATACAACTATCTACTGGGGCTTTGGGGGAGAAAAAAAAAAAAAAAAATTTCTAATTTTATAAAGTTGTACACATCATCTAACAACATGTTCCTATGTTAGTAAATCATTTTTTAAGGCATGACTCCTTCACACGGAGCTCCAGTGATTTCTTCTACCAGTGTCCCTATGGCTGGACATTTAGGTTATTTCCCATTTTTGATATCACAAATCATGCTACAATCAATATTTTTGTACATAAGTCTTTGAACAAATCTTGCTTTATTATTTTCTTGTGCATTTCTTGTCCCTAGGCAATTTTAATGGCCAATAATGAATTTGGAAAAATCTGTTAGCATATCACGTTAATAAATTTTAAATAATATTACTGCCCTTCTGTGGTCAATCCAAATCTTCAAAGTTCTTCTAGAAAGTATAAGGTCTAATCTTACCTTCCTAACCATTTCTAGCATCTTCAAAGACTCCTCGCCTTTCTCAATCCTGTACGTGCTCCAGGTTCAGTCCTAAATCCTTAATGTTTCTCCTTGTCTGTGTTCTTCCTCTTAAGACATCTCATTCACTTACATATCTTCATTTCTCATTTCCATAAGGATGACTCTACACAATTTTACCTAGCTTATGAACTCCACTCCCTTATTTCTTTGTGTGTTGGATTCCACATAGTATTTCCAGATCCTAGCACAGTGCCTGTCACTTCAGAGTCCCAAGGTATATTCCTCCACATGTATTATTGTGGGGGAAAAGTTCCATTGGCAAACAACTTAAACATGATAAAGTGAAACATGTTTATTTATTGCAGAACTAGTCAAAAGTTTTAATATGTAAAAGGAATAGACCGTCTCCACTTATATGAGGTAGGTAGAGTAGTCAAATTCATAGAGACAGACAGGAGAAGGTGGCTGCCAGGGCTGGAGGAAAAGGGGGATGAGGAGTTACTATTTAATGGGTACAGAGTTCCAGTTCTGCAAGATGAAGAGAGTTGTGGAGATGGATGGTGGTGATGGTTGCACAACAATGTGAATGCAATAAATACTACTGAATTGTATACTTTAAAATGGTTAAGATGGTGAATTCTGTTATGTGTATTTTACAACAATTAAAAAAAAGAGGGGTGGGGCCTGCCCCATGGCTTAGCGGTTAAGTGCGCGTGCTCCGCTGCTGGCAGCCCGGGTTCGGATCCTGGGCGCGCACCGACGCACCACTTGTCCAGCCATGCTGAGGCAGCGTCCCACATACAGCACCTAGAAGGATGTGCAACTATGACATACAACTATCTACTAGGGCTTTGGGGAGAAAAAGGGGAAAAAAAAAGGAGGAGGATTGGCAATAGATGTTAGCTCAGGGCCGGTCTTCCTCAGCAAAAAGAGGAAGATTGGCGTGGATGTTAGCTCAGGGCTGATCTTCGAAACCAAAAAAAAAAAAAAAAAGAGGGGTAAAACCTCAATGTTTCCTGAACTTATTCTTTTTTTCTCAGGGCACATCTAATGGAACGGTTCCTTGGAATCCACTTTTCTCCTCTCCTAGATGATAAACTCCTAAAGGGCAGGGAACTGTGGTTGGTGTTTCTTTATAATTTCACAGTACTTAATTTGTTGACTGATTTTAAAGTGACCTTATAGCAAGAACAGAACATTTGTGTTGAGTGTTAGTTTTTCTGTATCAGTGTTTTATAAAAGAGAGGTTTTGTGGGTATCTATAAACACTGATAAAAACAGAGGTTTTAAAAAGAGAACAGGCTAAAATAAAAAGTTCCACTGTAAGATCTCATGCACTAACGCGACATCTGTACCAGGACTGATTGGAAAGTGCCTTCTTCAACAGATCATTTTTGGAGGACTAGATAGTCACCATCATTTACCAGATTCTATATGGTGAGTCAAAACATCTGTCCAAAAAACAAAACCCCCATTGGAATATTATCAGCCAAATTTTCAAGTGTTATTCTACTTGACTCACTGACTCAAAAACAATCATTAAAAGAATCAGAGGTTAGTGCTCAGGATAGAATTGTCTTTCTTATACAACCAAGAAGAAAAAGCAGCTGTTTTGGTGAGATGGTTCTATCAGGGTATAAAGTCAGCCAGTAGGGCCACTATGGGAGAGGGTAATGGGGCAGACTTGAAGTGACAGTACCGGACATCTCACTCGCTTCTTACACTCAGAAACATTATGCTTCCTCTTCTTTGCAAAAGCAATGAAGTAAGAGCACAGGTGGGTCTGGGAGACCATATACATCCTCACTTCAATTTAGTTTTAGCAATGTTCTCGTGTTTAAAAATCCGGCATCGAAAAATGAGCATTTCTTGCCTTGAAAAATCTCTGGTGTTGTATTTAAATAACCAGAGGGACAACTACTTGACATAAAATAATTCTGTCAGTCAAGGTCCAATCAGGCAACAAAAAAGACACTAGTTATTGTAACAGAGGGAGGTTAATATAAAGAATTGTGAACCAGAGATTAGGGAAAGACCACCTTCTGTTCCATGCCAAGACATGTGGAAGTCCCATGTGATTTGAACAACCAACTCAAAGTTCAGTGGAAAGATGTGGTTTATATTTAGAAAGAACAGAGAGTAGCAATTTAACTAGTTTTGACTCAAGACAAAGTAAGTGATTAAGAAGATGGTCAAAGTCAAAGTCTCTCAACCTCAGCACTGTTGACATTTGGACTGGACGATTCTTTCTTGTGGGGACAAAGGGGAGGGAACCTGTGCACTGTAGGATATTTAGCAGCATCCCTGGCCTCTAACCACCCAGCTCCAGCTGTGATGATCAAAAATGTCTCCAGACATTGCCAAATGTCCCACGGGGAGCAAAATCACCCTCAACTGAGAACCACTGGTCTAGGTCATGTCACCTTAAAATTTACAGTGAAAGGAAAGGAACCATGTCCACAACTGGATTTACGGATCACTATGCATAAACATATACTTTGGCCCTAGCAACTCTGCCCACAAAACATAAACAACCACAAAACATTTTAGATCAAATTAACAAACACACAGCACCTACTATGGTGTTGACCTATGCAGTTAATACAGTAGCAACTAGCCACATGTCAGTATTGAGCACTTAAAACATGGCTAGTCTGAACTGAGATGTTTTGTAAATGTAAAATTCACACTGGATTTCAAACATTAAGTACAAAAAAATTAATACTTTTTGTATTGATTACATGTTAAAATAATATTTTGGATATAATGAGTAATTTAAAATATATCACTAAAATTAACCGCACCTATTTCTTTTTACTTTTTAAAAAGTGGCTAATATAAAATTTATAATTACACATGTAGCTTGCATTGTATCTCTACTGGACAGCTCTGGTCTAGACACAGGTTATGACACTATTCAATCTTACTGCAACTTCTGCCAAACTATACATCTGGTTTAACAGGCTTATCTTTTTGGAAGGGAAGCTACCACTAATGCCAACTCAGGCATGCATGTAGTCCATGGCAGTTCCAGTAAGTCTGTTCAAGGTATGAGAATTGTAATTAGACACTCAAAGGCAAATACAACCAGTGGCAAGATTATCATGAGAAGACACAAGCCTATAGGGTGCTGCAAGCTTAACAATGAAAATGGCTCCAGATTCTTCAAGGAATTCAAACTTCCTCTTAGACCAATACTTCTTTTTTTGGATAATACATCTTTCAAAAAGTTACTGTTAAGGGGCGGCCTGGTGGCGAAGCGGTTAAGCCTGCGCTCTGCTGCTGGCAGCTGGGTTTGGATCCCAGCCAGCCACCGACGCACCGCTTGGCAGGCCATGCTGTGGCGGCGTGCCATGTAAAGTGGAGGAAGATGGGCACAGATGTTAGCCCAGGGCCAGTCTTCCTCAGCAAAAAGAGGAGGATTGGCCTGGATGTTAGCTCAGGGCTGATCTCCCTCCCCGCAAAAAAACAAAAAAAAAAAGTTACTATTCAATAGTAGTGTGTCCTTGGATTTTGTAGTATTTGCTATTTGAAAACATTAAATACATTTGTCTAAGTATTATTTCCTCTGTTTTTCACAAAAGCTCTCAGAGATAATTAGGGAAAGTTATTCACATTTTGAAAATACAGCCCAAATGCTGCATTCCAAGAGGGAGACCTTGCTCCCAAGTCCTACATTCTTTCTACAAAAGCCGCAGCTGATCCGCCTTTAAACTCCACTTCGAAATTACTTCCAGATTTCCCAATATTCTATCCTAATCAGAAGGAAAACAGGCACGCATGCATTAAAACATTTAGAGAAAAACCTGAAAGTTCTTAGGTTGTTAAATGTCTTCCAAATCTGACCTAACCAAGGGCTCTTGTTATTCATGCTTATTTATAAAGGCTTCCTACGTAACATGACGTTCTTCTGCAAAGACACTGAAAGCTACAAGTCAGAGCTAGTTTTTTCACGCGCAAAAGGGGCAGCGACTGGCGCTACCTAACTCGAGCACCACTCTACCTAGCACTTGGCTTTCCTACCTTACTGCAATCATTTATCTTTTAATCTTCTAGGCTGCAAGGGCGCCTTCAACGCAGAGGCTGCATCTTACTCTTTTCTCTGGACCACTGCAGGCGCTTGTCTGTTGAAGGATCGAACTCTCCAGTCCTTTCTAGCTCTAGACCCGAGCAATTCTGTCGCCAGGAATGATAACCGTATTTACATACGTTTAAATGGGATAAGCCATGCACTCGACCCGCACCTAAATGGAGCTCCATTACAGTGGTAATCACAGTTACTGAGGTGAACTCACGAGCGCAGTCCCACAGAATCGAGCGGGAAATACTATTCCCCGCTCACCGCGCACCAAGCACGGGGCTTTCTTTCCCTTCATTACAAGCCGCCGCTTCGCCTCCCATACCTTTTGCAAAAGTCTATCAAAACCGCGAACATCGCCGAGGGCCTTCACCAACTCCTGCAGATTCTTTGTCATGCAGCTCATCGTGGACCGTTCGCCGGCTCCTGGAACCTACGCAAGAACGAACCTCGGAAGAGGCGGGAAGCCCAGAAGTTAAGAAGACAACAAGGACGCAGAGGGCAAAGACCCGGCACGCCTCTCCGCCCCGCGGCGCGCTCCAGGTGAGACGTCGCGCGCACCCGCCGCCACCGTCCCCCGCGGCTCGCTCACTGACGTTCCGCGCCCCGTTGTGCCCGCGCTGGCGGATCACGCTGCGAGAGCCCAGCACGTTTCCTGGCCGGGCTGTTAAGGCGGGAGCGCCGGGGCAGCGGGCGCCTGCGCAGAGCCGGGCGTCGGCTGCCGGGCCGGTGCCAGGGGGCGGTCAGCCGGCCGGGAGCCGATGGAGCCGAGCAGCGGTCTGGAGGCTGGGCCGGAGGCGGAGCGGGAGGAAGGGGAGCCCGCGGTGAAGAAGCGGCGGCTTCTGTGTGTGGAGTTTGCCTCGGTGGCGAGTTGCGACGCCGCCGTGGCGCAGTGCTACCTGGCCGAGAACGACTGGGAGATGGAAGTACGCTTTCGCTGTTCTCTCCTCCCGCTTGGGCCGTGGAGCGCACGAGTTCCATCCCTGGGTCTTTGTTTTTCAGAGAGCGCTGAACTCCTACTTCGAGCCGCCGGTGGACGAGAGCGCCTTAGAGAGCCCCCCGGAGCCCCCGGCTGCGCCCGAGTCCTGGTAAGTGGTGACGGGGCCCGGGAGCCATCCGGGCGGAGGCGGGTTACTGGCGGGTTGCCTCGCGCATCCTGGGACTGGCCGTGGCGTTGGGCGGGGATGCTGAGGAGAGGCAGGTCTCCCGGCCCAGTAACCAGAGGCGGAGGGTTTGTGCTGGTGCCGCAGGGCTCACGCCTCTCTCCCGAGGTCCGGACGTAATTTGGAGCTCAAGGAGGAACAATCGGAAATGTAATTTTTGCCTCGAATTATAGGAATTATGTAAGGAAGAGGTTCGAAACGAATAAGGGAAAAACCTCTATTGAGGAATGGTAACATGGAAGTCTCTTTGCTTCCTATGTTCTTTACTGTCTGCTAGTCAGCCAGAATAATTTTGTGAAATGCACACCCACCTCTGTTGTTCTGTCAAAAACCCCGAAACAGCAAAATTAAAGCCACCAATCAATAAATAGTATTTAATGGGAATTTATTGTGCGTGTAACAACAGTTCACGAACTTGGAGCTTCCAAATTCAAAGACTGATATGAAGCTCAGGGGCATGAAGTTATAGATTGGCTTATAAAGTAAAAACGGGGAAGTTGTTTAATGTTTACAATGATTGCTTATTACAATGAGGATTTCCAGACCGCAAGGGATTATTAGCAGACGTTTGGTCCTTCCAAAACGTCCATCAGACATTTGGTCCTGTCCAAAACGTCCATGAGCGTATTGGGTCCACGCCAAATGGTTTTGGACAGGACCAAATATCCTGCAAGGCAGGGGTTTGGTTAAAAGTGATTATCTCATACCATTTTAGGAAGATGACCTAAGTTTCTTTTGTTAGTTTTCAGAGGTATTTATAAGAAATAATCTAAGTTTCACTTATATTCATGAAGTAAGCTGGATGTAGTTTTGCTTTCCTGGGTTAAATGGTTTTGTCTGCTCAGGAAGTTCTCAAGACCTATGTCCATTTTGTATTTAATTTTGACAATTCCAACGCTCCCTCCCCATTTCCTGCATTGCTGCTCTTTTTTTTTTTTTTTTTTTTTGGGAAGATCAGCCCTGAGCTAACATCCATGCTAATCCTTCTCTTTTTGCTGAGGAAGACCGGCTCTGAGCTAACATCTATTGCCAATCCTCCTTCTTTTTTTTTCCCCCCCTCCAAAGCCCCAGCAGATAGTTGTATGTCATAGTTGCACATCCTTCTAGTTGCTGTATGTGGGACGTGGCCTCAACATGGCCGGAGAAGCGGTGCGTCGGTGTGCGCCCGGGATCCGAACCCAGGCCGCCAGTAGCGGAGCGCGCGCACTTAACTGCTAAGCCCCAGGGCTGGCCCAAGCGCTGCTGTTCTTAAAGTCCAGACGTTTTACAAGTCCCTCCATGGTTTGACCACTCACTGCCTGTCTTTACATGTTCCTCACCTGTCACCCTCTCTTTCCTACCCCAGAAAAAGTTCCAGGCATATCAGACTTTTCACTTTCTCCAGTGGGCCATTTTCGCTTCCCTTTCAACTTTTGTAAACGTACTCATTTAGCCTGTTTATTTCCTCTGCCTAGAATTTTTTTTCCTCCTTCCTTACTAAGTAATATTAACTTTAAAGGCCCAGTTTAGACATGATGCTCTTATAGCATCCTGCATGACACCTGTCATAATAACTTAGTTCATATTATAATTGCTGTTTAATATTTTATATCTCTCACTGGATTACACATTTGGTGAAGATGGTCTCTGTTTTATACATTGTTGATTTTCCAGAGTGTAATATGATATTCAGCATGTAATAAACTCTCAATAAATATGTATTGAATGTGTAAAGTTCTTACAGCTATATGGGCAGCCTGTATAGTAACTGTTCGTAGTGGAGACTCTTTTCCTTTCTTTGCTCTTTTCACTTGCACTGGCCTATCAAGATCATTTCATTAGGCTCCTTTCTCCATCTGCCTAGCCTCTTACTGGGGAATTGTCCACTCACCCACAGTGATGTATCTCTGGCTCCCATGTTGTAATAGCTAGAGCCAGTTAGATTAGTAGGTATTCACCTAGCCCAGGCTGGCCAGTTAGATCCTCTCTCCTAGGATTTTGAGATTAGGACCAAGACAGTTAAGTCTGACTCTTCCTGCGGAGCTGGAACTGTAACCTGTTAACTTAGTACCTTTTGGGATCTGTACCCATCCTTTTTTGTGTATGAGGAAGCTGAGAATGCTGGTCCGCAGAGAGAGAATGAATCTGAGGAAAGTTGAGTAGGATTGAGAGAAAGCCTTGATTGCAGTTCCTTACGCATAGCTGTGTTCTTGTACCTGGCTCTGTGCCGTGTTTCTGTTTTCTTATAATTCCTGTTTTGCTAAAACTAGCCTGAGTTGGTGTCTGTTAGCTGCAACCTAAATTGTAACCAATAAAGACATTGCAACAAAGAGGTGGATTCCTTGAAGTAGTGCCTCAGAAAAAGTGTGGATCGAGCTGAGTAGTAGTGGGATGGAGGCCCATTAGGAGTCCCCTACCCTAGAATCATAAATTGGCAAAAACAAGCAAAGTGGTCGATTAGGCCGTGGTCTGTTTTCTCTTGGAACTCAGATCAAGTGAGAGTGAGGCTTTATCTATAGAATAAAATAAGGATTTATACTGATATAAATACATTGGCCGAGGAGAGAAGGGAGCGCTTTTGCTTACAGTAGAATTCCAACTACTCAAAGTAGAGGTATAAAGGAATTAGAGAAAAATCATCATTTGGGAACCACCATAGTAATAATTATTTCAGACAGGAATCATCAATGGATACTAAAACTAAAAGGTGAATGTTAATGAGAAACAAGATATTCATGTAGTCTCAAAGTGCCTACCCACAAAATACTTATTACAAAGGGAAGAAATCTAGTAGAAAAAAATTTAGCGGTGGAGAAATCTAGTAGATAGTGCCTTAACCAAATGATCAAGGTTAACATGAGCAGTCCTGGGGGCAAATCCATATCAGGTGCCACCTAATATGATGCACTGAGGATGCCACACTATCACTTCTGTGTCATTCCTGCCAAAAAATGCAAAATCTGAATCTAATCATAAGAAAACATCGAATAAACCCAAACTGAAGGGCATTCTACAAAATAAATGGTCTGTATTCTTCAAAAATACCAAAGTCATGAGAGACAAAGACTGAACAACTATTTGGATTAGAGGGGATTGAAAAAGACATGCCAGCTCAATGCAACGTGTGATCCTGGATTAGGACATTAGTGGCATAATTGGCGAAATTTGAATAGGTCTTTAAGTTATATAGTAATGTATCAGTGATAATTTCCTGACTTTCAATAACCCTACTAGGGTGTATATGTAAGCCTGTCCTTGTTTTTAGGAAATATATACAAAAGTATTTATGCAAACGTTTCAGAATAAAAGAATAGAGCAAGTAATGTTAAAGTAAGTAAAATGTTAACATTTATCTGGTTGAATGGTGAGTAGAGTTCTTTTTACTGCTTTTGCAATTCTGAAAGTCTGAAATTATTTCAAAATGATAAGTTAACTAGACTTATTGTGGTGATCATTTTGCAATGTATACAAATATCAAACCATTATGTTGTAACCTGAAACTGATATAATGTTCTATGTCAATCATACCTCAATTAAAAAATAACTTAAAAAAGAAGTTAAAATGTTGGCCTTAAATTTATTAAAATTATAAATGCAAAAACCTATTTCTTAAATTTATGTAAGTTTATAAATGCTTAGCAGTCACCTTTTGACAATATTTTGTCCCTGCATTCAAATGTCTGGGCCTTGGTGGGGATAGGGGAAGGCGGGGTCAGGTAAGACTGTGGACTGCAGCACATAGATGTGGCCTCTCCAGCCTGGCAGTCTCAGGGTAGTCGGGCTTCTTACGTGGCAGCTCAGGGTTCCTGGAGAGAGTGTTCCAAAAGGCTTGAGTGAAAGCTGCAAGCCTTCTTAGGATGAAGCCTCAGAAGTCCCAGAATATTCTTTTCACCATATTCTACTGGTCAGGCAAGTCACTAAGGCCCAAATTCAAGGGGAGCGATGTTAGACTTCACCTCTCAATGAGGGAAATAACAAAGAAGTTGCAGTCATTATTTTATCTGCCACAATGAGATCTTATTTCAAATATTTAAAATGATTAGTATGATTTCCAAATAAATTTGGAAATCTTACATACTTAGTCTAATTTGGGGTTGTAGTTTATGAAATCATTTTAACAACACATGTCAGTAAAGGATATTGAGTTGGCTCTAACTGTGTAAGTGAGCAAACATTTGGAAAATACAGTAAGAATCTTTTTCCTCAGTCATGTGACTTTTGCTTTTCTATAGGCAGATGCTTTTAGGGCTCTTTTAAAATTTATCTGTAAGATGAGGGCTACAAATACTTACAAAATAATTTTTATTTTTATTTATTTATTTTTTTGTGAGGAAGATCATCCCTGAGCTAACATCCATGCCTATCCTCCTCTTTTTTTGCTGAGGAAGACTGGCCCTGGGCTAACATCCATGCCCATCTTCCTCCACTTTATATGGGATGCCGCCACAGCATGGCCTGACAAGCGGTGCGTCGGTGCACGCCCGGGATCCGAACCCCGGGCCGCCAGCAGCAGAGCGTGCACACTTAACCGCTATGCCACAGGGCCGGCCCCCAACAAAATAATTTTTAAATTAATCAGTTTATAGATTATTTGGAAAGTTGTGTTTCATTCTGATCTTGCCAGTGTTGACCTAACCAATGAGGAAACAACTGAGTCCGTTAGTTCTAAAACCAGCACAGCTGAAAATATTCAGCAAGAAGATGGCAGCATGTTCTCTTTCATTACCTGGAATGTTGATGGATTGGATTCAAACAATCTGCAAGAGAGGGCTCAAGGAGTGTGTTCCTATTTATCTTTGTAAGTATTATTACTTCTGTTTGATGGTAGCATGATAATGTCTTACCTATCTACAAAGAGGGTAACAGTTCAAGGTTTTGGGCTTTCGAATCAGACCTGAGTTGACAGTCCAGATCTCAGAAGAAACATCTCAGAAAGAATGGAGAGTCATTGCCTCTGAGCACAGGATTGTGGGTTGTGGTGGAGAGAGAACACTAATTTTTGTTGGAAACCTTCTAGTACTATTTTACTAATTAAATTTTGTATATAATCATTGCCATGAAAATAAAATTACCAAAAAAATTTGTATCCGCCATATAATGACTCTGACCTTGTGTAATCACTTGTGAGCCACTTAAGTTCTCTGGAGCTCACTTTTCTTCATCACGGATAACAACTGTTTCAAGAGAATTGAAAGAGATCATAACATTTAAAGCATGTATTTAGATGTAGGACCATTGTAGGCTCTCAATGTTACTGGTTTTGATTGTCAATGATTCCACTTCTTTTAATTTTAAAGTGTTGTCATGTATATGTTTTTTTAAAAATTTGATCTTTACAATATCTGTTAAATAGCACAGATTTCTCATTTTATAGTTATCAAAGATTGGTATAAACATTGAATATTAAGTGTCCTAGAGAGTAATAGTTTTGTTTCTCTTATGTTGTGATATTTTCCTAATCTAGGTAGTTACAAATAGTATACCTGGTGTTTATCATAAATTGATGTTTTTAATTAGGTACAGCCCAGATGTGATATTTCTACAAGAAGTTATTCCTCCATATTATAGCTACCTAAAGAAGAAAGCAAGTAGTTATGAGATTGTTACAGGTAACATTTTTCCTGTTATTTAATTTGTCTTTTTCTTTGAAAAAGAAGTCAGTGAAAAAGATAAATCAAAGTTAGCCTGTTGGAGCATAGATGAGAAAAAGCACAGATAAAAGAAATTTGAGAACGATAAGCCAGACACAGGATACTAAAAAAACTGTAGGAGAATATGTTATACAGCTTAATGTTAATGTATGTGAAAAAGTGGTTGAAATGGATGATTTTTCAGGAAAATATAAATTGCCAAAATTTGAGACACTGAGTAGCTTTTTGGTGAAGTTAAATTGTTAAAAATTTTAAGCATGATAATTGCATTGCAGTTATGCTTTTTCAACAAGTCTTTATCTTTAAAAAATCCCTTTTTATTTTGTTATTTTTCCAGCTTTTTGCCCTGAATAATTTAGTTTTTTGATTTTCCATCTACTTTGTTTTTAAAGTGCATTTAACATACCACTTTGGCTACATTTCATGGTTTTTGGCTAAATCTCATCCTTTCTTGGACTTTCACTTCTTTTACATAATATGTGATTTTAATTTTGATTTATTCTTTAATCCAGAATTGCTAAGGAGAAGGTTCTCTCTCAGTCTCTGTCTCCCTTTCTCGGACTTTTGTGCATTCTCTTAGGGATTCTTTTTGCCTCTCTTCTGTTTTGGATTTCTTGTTTTTTGAATCCCATGCTTTCATTTTTCTTGGTTTACTTCCTCATTTTATTGGAGCACATTCTCTAATCACTTTCCAAGAAATAGTGCTTGGAGAATGAAGTTTTTAAGTCCTAGCATTTTTAAAAATGCTTGTGTTGTATCCTCATCGTTGGTTGATAGTTTGGCTGGACGTAGATTTCTAGGTAGCAAGTCATTTTCCCTCAGAATTTTGAAGGCATTATTTCAGTGTTCTAGTTTCCATTATTGATGATCATAAGTCTGATGCCATTCTAATTCCTGTTCTTCCCCCCTCCCATCCAGAAACCTTGAGGGTCTTCTTTTTAACCCTAGTGTTCTTTGGGTCTTTTTTTATTTATTGTGCTGAATGCTTGGTAGAGACTTTCAGTTTGGATTTTGTGACCTTCACTTCTGGAAACTTCTTTTTCTCTCTCTCTCTCTCCTTTCCTCCCTCCCTCTCCCTCTTCCTTCTCCTTCCTTCTTCCCTTTCTGCCTCCTCTCTCTCCCCTTCCCTCCCCCTCTCCCAAATTCCTCTCCCCTTCTGGCCCACCTACCATCTTTCTAGTTTCCCTGCCTCCTTCCCTTTGCCTTTCATTCTTTTCTCCTTTCCTCTCCTTTTTCCTTCCTCCCTTCTCTTCCTTTTCCTCTTTCTTTCTCTCCCTCTCTCTTCCTCCCTTCTTCCCTTCGTTATTCTCTCTTTACCCCTTCCCTTTTTCTGGAATCCCTCTTTGTCAAATGGTAGACCTCCTTGGTTGATCCTTGAATTTTCATATATTTCTCTCTTATTTTCCCATCTCTTGACTATCTATCTGTTCTACTTTCTTGGCAACTGTCTTGATTTTAGATATCATTATTTTGACTTTCCAGTGCTCATGTTCACCAAATGTCTCTTTTTTAGAACTTTCTATTCTTGATTTATGGGTGCAGCATCTTATCTCTGAGGATATCAGGCTTTTTTAATTTAGTGTTTTTGTTTGTTTTAGGTTTTAATCTCTTTCCCTGCATTGTTTTCAATCTTTCTTTTTGTTTGTTTTAGTGTCTGTCCTTCATATTAGAGCTGTTCCCTAAATGTATAGGGGTTCTTAGTTCTTGGTTCACCTGTATACTCCAGGTATTAAAAAGCCAATTACAGTTCAGTATCCCAGGGCGGTGGATGCAGTGCCCTCACCACAGCTGGGTGAGGGATTGATTGTGGAGCAAACTGCTTGTTCATTCGGGAGAGACCCCCAAGTGTCAGTCTGGCAGGATAAAAAAGCCTTTTAATCTGAGGCCTTTCCGTTTCTCTAAAAAAAAACCTCTCTAGCTTTCCATCTTCTGGATGTGGGGCGGGGGTGGCGTGCTTGTTTAGCCTGCCGGCTGGAAGAGGGTAGAAGAAGGGAGCTGAGGTGTCCTCTCTCGAGGAGGCACACTTTCACTTGATCTCTGTGTTCAGTCTCACACCTCAGGCCTTTTCTCTATCTCGCCTTCCAGTGACTGGTGACTCTGAGGCCTCTAAGATTCCATTTCTCTTTAAACCTGTAGTCTGCTCTTAGCAGAGCGGTGATCACTTGGCTGTCAGGGGTTGGGGAAGAGACCTGGGGTGTGTTGAACCTTGAACTAGCCCTCCTGTTTTAGTACCTTACCTTTGTGTTCAAGTACTTAGTTTCCAGGCTTTGGTGGAACAAATCTGCTTGCTTCCTGTCTGTGGTTCTCTGCTACCGGCACCCAAGCCGTTTCCCTCTGTTGTGATAAACCAGTCACTACTTCTCCGTCTACTTTGTTTTCTGACAAACTGTTGGAAGCTTTCATTCACTGCCCCTCCACTTCTATTCTCTTTCCTTCTTGCGGGTTTATACTCTTCTAAATTTTTTATTCATTTACTATAATTTTTCTGGTGCTTCCAGAGTGAGAGGTAAATGCACGTCAATTTGCGTCAGTTTAAGTCTTGTCTACTCTGTTTTTCAGAAATTTCTCAAATTTTCTTGTTTGTTATTGGCAACGTTAACTATTTTTGGCACTGTGTGAATTCATTTTTATTTATTTTTTTATTTTTTGTTTTTTTTTAAAGATTTTATTTATTTATTTTTTCCCCCCAAAGCCCCAGTAGATAGTTGTGTGTCATAGCTGCACATCCTTCTAGTTGCTGTATGTGGGACGCGGCCTCAGCATGGCCAGAGAAGCAGCGCGTCGGTGTGAGCCCGGGACCCGAACCCGGGTCGCCAGCAGTGGAGCGCGCTCACTTAACCACCAAGCCACGGGGCCGGCCCTCATTTTTATTTTTATATTCCTTCCATACTTCTAGTTACATTTGGGAAGGAGCAGGTAAACATAAGGACATGGTTGACCATCTTCAACTATTTTGAAATAATAATTTACTTTTAAGATTTAGATCCATTTAAATATCTATACCTGTTTGTTGTAAAATCTTCAGGGGAACTTGTGATAAACTGCAAAATGCCCTTGACCTCTCAGCCTAAATTCTTTTCCACAAACATTTGAAGGTAATGAAGAAGGATATTTCACAGCTATAATGTTGAAGAAATCGAGAGTGAAATTTAAAAGCCAAGAGATTATACCTTTTCCAAATACAAAGATGATGAGAAATCTTTTGTGTGTGCATGTAAGTGATTTTTTTAAATGGATTGTTTTTTTAAAAAAAGAATGTGCTGTTTTTTATAGTTACATGGTGATGTCTTTTTTAAAAAACCATTTCCTGTAGAGAAAAATTTGCTCCACACTCATAGATTTTTTTTTTTTTTTTTTATAATTTTATTTATTTATTTCCCCAAAGCCCCAGTAGATAGTCATATGTCATAGTTGCACATCCTTCCAGTTGCTGCATGTGGGACGCAGCCCCAGCACGGCCAGAGAAGCGGTGCGTTGGTGCGCGCCCGGGATCCGAACCCGGGCCGCCAGCAGCAGAGCGCACGCACCTAACCGCCAAGCCACGGGGCCGCCCCTCACACTCATAGATTTTTAAAAATAGTCTTGAAGAGCTTTGTAAACTGTTTTTACATAAATTTCAAATACAGACAAAATTTGTAAAAATAAAATCCTTGATCCATTAGATGTTTTCCTAAGAATATTTAAGAGTTTGCTAACATTCCACATTTCCTTCCTAAGGTAGTCTTTTTACTAAATGCACTGTACATAGTACTGTGTTGTACACTCTGTGAGGCTTACAAAAATGAGTCAGATTGAACTTGCTCTCATAGAGTAGCAAGGGAAAGATTATATATGTAGTTACTAAAATAAAGGAAAGGCATAAATGCCACAGGAGAGGTATAATGATGTGCCATGGAAGTTTAGAGAAAGGAGAGGTGACTTAGCTTGATTTTTTTTTTTGTTTTTTTCTAAATTGCGGTATAATTGACATACCATATTAGTTTCAGGTATACAACGTAATGATTCGATATTTGTGTATATTGCAAAATGATCACCACAATAAGTCTAGTTAACATCTGTCACCATACATAGAAATTTTTTTTTCCTATGATGAGATTAGCTAGGTTGTTTAGTGAAAATTTCATGAAGGAAGTTGTATTTGAATTCGGCCCTGAAAAATGTGTAAGATGTGGACATTAAGAACAGTCCAGACGGCAGAACCACCATGAGCATACTTGCAAATTGCAAGTGGCAAGGTATGTATAAATCAAACTGGGCATAAATGGGTGTAAATGAGCATTCTGTTCAGTTGGGTGTAGAGGGCACAAAGAGGGGTGTGTGACAGGAAGTAGGTAGAGTAGATTGGATCCAGATTATAGAAGATCATGAGTGCCCAATATGAAAGAATTTGGACTTGATTCTGTAGGCAATTAGTCAAAAAAAGGTCAGTTAAATTAATGAATGAGAATCATTTACCATTTGCAATTAAGATACCAACAATGTAGGATCAGTGCCAGGCTCTTGATAATATAGCAGTAAGTAAAAGAAGCATCTTTCCTTTCAAATGACTCATGGCTTTGTAGGAGAGAAATAATGGTGCTGTAATTCAATCTAGGGGACTTTCAAAACAGTCTTTCCAGCATGTTATAGGAGTATAGAGGAGGGAGCCACTGACTGCCTGGGGACATTGGGGAAGGCTCTCAGTGAAGGTGATATTTGAGATAGATCTTGAAGTATTAGTGGGTGCTTGCTAAGTAGTCTTCTTGGGGAGCAGGGTTAGTGCTTTATACTTCTTTGACCTAGAAGGATAAGCACAGTGCTGATTATATAGTTTTTGCTTTAGTTTCAGTTGAATAATTGCTGATTCTGTTTTCAAAGTTAAGCATTAGTGGTTAGAGGATAATTGTAACAAGTATTATTATTTATCCTGTTGCAGGTGAATGTGTCAGGAAATGAACTTTGCCTTATGACTTCCCATTTGGAGAGCACCAGAGGGCATGCTAAGGAACGAATAAATCAGTTAAAAATGGTTTTGAAGAAAATACAAGAGGCTCCAGAGTCAGCTACCATTATATTTGCTGGAGATACAAATTTAAGGGATCAAGAAGTGAGTGGTAAAGTCACTTCAAATGTTTATGGGCAGATTATTGCTGTGGAAACTAATTTAGGTTCCTTTTGACCAAAGCTGTTAAAAGTAGGACCTTCATTCACTCAAAATGTGTAAGTGACCTTGTGGATGCAATTGAGCAAATATCTGTTTAGCCCATGCAATGTGCCTAGGGGAAGCAGAGGCAGGAGGGGCTCTTACATTACTGGGGAAAACAAGTACTGCACGTGAAACAGACAACACAAAACAGTAGATGTTGATTAACGAGAGGTAGAAAGAAAATAATGATTGGAAGAGTTTAGAAAAGGTCAGGTTTATTTGCAGTTTCTCTAGTTGCAAAAGGTGAAAAGAACAGAAAGATTTGACCATCATAGTTGTCCCTAACTCTCACTTCCTTCTCGAGTTTTCTTTTTTCAACCTTTTTTAGCTTTTTTTCCTGCTACCACCATGTCCAGGTCTGAAACAACAAAGTCTTTCCTCTTAGTTCGGTTGAGACGTGTTGGGATTTTTCAGGGCTTTTATTTAGAACATATTAAATGGTAAGCCTGCCTTGCCTTTTCTCCTCGTTCTGGCTGAGTTCATATCAGAGTAAAGTGAATTGAAATGGAGATTCTGTTTATTTTCACTGCCATAAGGTCCAGGACTGGAGGAAAAAGTGAAATGGAAAGTGAAAGCGTGACAAGACTTACTGCCAGAATGAAGGCAGTATCCCAAATCAAGGAAATGGTGCTCTATTTACCTCAGTGACTTTGTGTATTTGTACACAGATTATTTTAAAAAGTCAAGCTTTCGATTGGACTATTTGCAAATCAGTAACTTGATGGCAGCTATGTTTCTTAGTACCTGGTTGACTAACTTACCTACTTAAAAAAAAATCCTGCTTTTCAGGGGTCGGGCCAGTCATGCAGTGGTTGTGTTTGTGCACTCCGCTTCAGTGGCCTGGGGTTCGCAGGTTCGGATCCTGGGCGTGGACCTACGTACTGCTTATCAAGCAGTGCTGTTGCGGCAGCCCATATACAAAATAGAGGGTAATGGGCACTGATGTTAGCTCAGGGCTAATCTTCCTCAGCGAAAAGAGGAGGCTTGGCAACAGGTGTTAGCTCAGGGCCGATCTTCCTCACCAAAAAAAAAAAGTTAAAAACAAAATCCTGCTTTTCAACAAATAGTGTTGGGAAAACTGGATGTCCACATGCAGAGAAATGAAGTTGGATCCTAACTTTACAACCTAAAGTTTGTAACTTTACAACAAAAGTTTACTCAAAATAGATCAAAGACCTAAAGGTAAGAGCTAAAACTATAAAACTCTTAGAAGAAAACAGGGGAAAAGCTTCATGACATCAGATTTGCCAGTGATTTCTTGGATATGACACCAGTAGCACAGAGAACAAAAGAAAAAATAGGTAAGGTGGACTTCATCAAAACTAAAAACTTTTGTGCATCAAAGGATACTATCAATGGAGTGAAAAGGCAACCCGTGGAATGGGAGAAAATATTTGCAAATCACCTGACAAGCAGTTAATATTCAGAATATATAAAGAGCTCCTACAATAAAAAAAAAAACTTGGTTAAAAAGTGAGCAAAAGATTTAAATAGACATTTCTCTGAAGAAGATAGACAGATGGCCAATAGATACATGAAAAGATGCTCAGCATTGCTGATTATTAGAGAAATACAAATCAAAACCACGAGATACCACTTCATATCCATTAGTGTCATTATTATCAGAAAAACAGAAAATAAGTGTGGTGAGGATGTGGAGAAATTGGAACCCTCATGCAAGGCTGGTGGGAATATAAAATGGTGCAGCTATTGTGGTGTGGGGATTCCTCCAAAATTTAAACATAGAATTTCCATAATTTCCACAATTCCACTTCTGGGTGTATACCCAAAACAAATAAAAGCAGAGTCTCAAAAAGATATTTCTACCCCTATATTCATAGCACCATTATTTGCAATAGCTAAAATATAGAAGCAACCCAAGTGCCCACTGACAGATGAATGGATAACAAAATATTCCACTGACATGCAGTGGAATATTATTCAGCCTTAAAAAGGAAGAAAATACCTCCACATGCTGCAACATAGATGAACCCTGAAGACCTTATGCTAAGTGAAATAAGCCAGTCACAGAAGGACAAATATTTCATGATTCCTCTTAAATGAGTTTCCTAAAATAGTCAAATTCATACAGTTAGAAAATAGAATGGTAGTTGCTAGGGGATGAGGGGAGGGTGGAATGGGGAGTTAGTATTTATTGGATATATAGTTTCAGTTTGGGAACGTGGAAAAAATGGTTCTAGAGATGGATGGTGGTGGTGGTTGCACGATAATGTGGATGTACTTAATGCCGTAGAACTGTACACATTAAAATGGTAAATTTTATGTTATGTATATTTACCACAATAAAATTTTTAAAAAAATCCTGGAGAGTGAATGGCAGAAGGAAGGATTAATATTAGTAAATTTCAGATAAAACTGAAGGCAGTTGACATTATTGGATACATAAACGGTATACTTGTAAATTTATAGACTAACAGTTTTGCCGCCTTTTCACTTGTGTTCCTTTTTTTACAAACTACTAAAAGCAATAACTGAGGCCTTGGATTTTCAGCCTTCTAAGTTTTATCTGACACTCAGGAACTGTTTATGGCAGAAGAGAAATGGCAGATTCCAGACTTCCTTGGCTACCTTGATATTTTAATAATATTTATTACCATGCAGCAAAATAGTTTTTATAGTATATCTAGTTATAACTAACATAGCTAGTTTTGCATTTGTGCATTAATAAATAATTCATGACATTCTGATTTGAAGTGTTGCACTTCGATGTGATAGTACTAAAGACAGCTTTTCAAATTAAAGGAAAAAAGACTGTGACTTTTACAGTTTTCTTTCTTTTTCTTTTCAGGTTACCAAATGTGGTGGTTTACCCAACAACATTTTAGATGTCTGGGAGTTTTTGGGCAAACCTAAGCATTGCCAGTATACATGGGATACACAAATGAACTCTAATCTTGGAATACCTGCTACTTGTAAGCTTCGTTTTGATCGAATATTTTTCAGAGCAGCAGCAGAAGGTGGCCACGTTATTCCCCGAAGTTTGGACCTCCTTGGGTTGGAAAAACTGGACTGTGGTAGATTTCCTAGTGATCACTGGGGTCTTCTGTGTAACTTAGATGTAATATTGTGAAATGCTTTTCAAATGCGAGTTTCAATGTTCTGAGTAATTTTGTTCTGGACTTTTGCAAATACAATTTGTAGCTGCCTAGAAAGGTAGGTTTAATAGGAGAAATTAATATGCTGGATAATTGTAACAAAAGAAAAAGCTACTGTGATTTTCTTTTGTGGATTGCATCCTCAGATTTCAGAACTAAATATTAATGTTTATTTAGACTAAAGCATACCTGTGTTCAGAGTATGAGGCCTCTTAATGAAAGGGAACAAAAGGCTATTGGAGCTTTTAATAGTGCTCATAGGTGCCAGCTGGATTTCAAGCTGGGCCACATTGTCTTTGGGCTAGCCTTTGTATTTGGGCTAGCCTTTGTATTTGATTTATTTTTTACATCAGGAACTGAAATAGTTAATACCTTACATAAGTCTTCAAATAAAAAAATAAGTTACTGAGTCCTTGGAACTGGATCTTTTAATAATATTTTACAAATTCAGATAATCTTAAATGAAAAAGCCATGATCATCTGCATTTAAGTGGATGACAACTATCCTATATCAGACTTTATTTCTGTCAGCTAACAACATAATTAGTAAGCTATAAATGAACTCTTGTGATTTAAAATTCCTTATCTTTTTAAGATTCATGTTTGTAGTTATGTCACCAGTAGAGGCAAATTAGGCTTGATAATGATTAAAGTCAGTTTTATGGTGACATTGGACTTTTTTCCTAAGAGAAAAATAAATGTGTAAAGAGAAATAGCCTTCTAGTTTTGCTACTTACAAAATTGAATTATTTTACAATTGAATTATTTTACAAGAGGTGAATAAGGAACACTTTTACATGTGCTTTAAGGAAACATTTTTTTCTCAGAGAAATGTACTTTAGATAAAGAATTTTTCCTCAGAGAAATGTACTTTAAATAAAGAATTTTACTTGTTTATAGTTTGTTTTAGTGCTCATGATAGGATTGAAGTTTTTACCTGCTTCCTGTTTCTGGCTCTACCGCTGTTGCTTCACCTCTGTGTGGAAGAAAACAGCTTTCCACGTTGCTTCTCACTCTGCCAAGAATTACCAAGAATATATTGACATCCTCAGTATAAAAAAAGGAAAGCTGCAGCCAGCCCCATGGCCAGGTGGTTGAGTTCAGCGCACTCCACTTCGGCAGACTGGTTCGGTTCCTGGGCACGGACCTACACCACTCGTCGGTGGCCATGCTGTGGCAGTGACCCACATACAAAATAGAGGAAGATTGGCACAGAAGGTAGCTCAGGGTGAATCTTGCTCAAGCAAAGAGGAGGATTGGCAACAGATGTTAGCTCAGGGCCAATCTTCCTCAGCAAAAATAAATATATAAGGAAAGCCAGTGGGAATAATTAGAATGAGAAGTAGCAGAACTTTATTTTCATCAGGGGTGTCAAAGATAACAACTAAAACACCTAAAAAAAAGACAAGCTGAATTTATACATAATATTCCCTTTGTAGTGACAATGGAAAGGAGTTTTATATGTTAATCATAATTTTAATAATTAAAAATAAGATGAGAAATAATGCTAATATGTTATAAATTATGGAGGCAATAGTTCATTTTTGTGAGAAAAGGATGTTTCAGGCATAACTTGCTTATTCATTTGGAAGACTAAGTTGAAAGAACCCCACCTCACATCACATTACAAAAAATATCTAGATGAGTGAAAGGCTAAATATAAAAAATAGAATATGTCATAGTGTGTATTAGATTAAATAAAAAATTATCAAATTGTTTTAAAACCATGAAAGGAGTATCATTTCCTTTATATGACTCAGAGCACCCAAGTAAAATACTTTCCCATTGACTGCTTATAGTGTCAAAATCTAGGAAACAAGGTATAAGTGAAGTGAATAGGGACAGTCAAATCACTTTTAGTCTGCTTTCATGGGCAGTAGTTCTCTAAGAACCTACTAATTTGCAATATCTTGAATTTTTTACTTTGAATCTCAAGCTCTTCCAGTATAGTTTTGCATACCTTACCTCTCTTCTTGGTTAAATCTAACTAAGAAATCTTCAATTTCAATAAGCTACACACCATCTTGGCCACTGATGTGGAATGTACTTGAACCTTGCTAGACGTCAGTTTCTCCCACCTTCAAAATAGGATAGTTCTTTGTCTTTTATTGTGCAGCTTAATAAGACAAATGCCCCAAACCAACAGCATATTAACAAGAGCAGAGGAAGTCAGAAAAACTCTACTAAGGATACATCATTTTATCCTTAGTGTCTATTACAGTATCTGGCGTGTAGCGGGAGCTCAATACATGCCCTTTGAATGCTGAAGAGAAGTGGAAGAGAGCAGCCTCACATTTTTGCTAACATTTTCATTCAGTACCAAAATAGATATATTCATTATATGTATCAAAATAGGTATTCCTTGTAATGGCTCCAAGTTAACAAAGATGTTATGGTTTAACATTCTGGACTAAGCCCATATGTACTATATTTAAAGACCACTGGGAACAGGCCTGTTGTCTGACTAAATCAGATTTATTAATTTTTAAAATTTTTGTTTAATTTTTTTTCCCCCCAAAGCCCCAGTAGATAGTTGTATGTCATAGTTGCACAGCCTCCTAGTTGCTGTATGTGGGACGCGGCCTCATCGTGGCCGGAGAAGCGGTGCGTCGGTGCCCGCCCGGGATCCGAACCCGGGCCGCCAGCAGCGGAGCGCGCGCACTTAACCGCTAAGCCACGGGGCTGGCCCTAAATCAGATTTATTGATGTGGTCAGAGGGCACTCTGAGGGTACTGTGGACAGCCACGTGAGAAGAGAAAGGAGGGAAGTGTCCTTCGTAAGGTTTGGGTTCTGGTTGAAGGAGTCTAAGGAGGGTTTTGGAATTGCAGATTGGTTCCTGTTTCGGAGGCAGATTGGGAGAAGCAGGGATTAACTAGGGATTGGGTGCTGTCTTGAGGGGAGGAGAGTTCAGCAATTGGGTATCACCAGTTACAGATGAGAATAGCAAAGCAAAGGGGGGATCAGTGGTAAGAAAGCTGTAGTCAGTCAAAGGGGGTGGTTATGTGATTTTACAGCTGCATGACCTTGGGAGAAACAATATTTCCTATTAACTTTGCATCTGGTTTTATCTGTGTCTGCCCTCCCAGCTTGATCAATTGGCAGGGTTGCCTTTTTCTTTTTAGTCCAAATTGATTTTTTCTCTTTCCGTCCTGGACAGGTTTTTAGTCTTTTAATGTGCATTATCTAATTTAATTCCCACGGTTATCCTATATGAGTGCTATTATCTCTATTTTATAATTCAGGAAACTGGGGTTTAGCAGGATTATGTAACTCGTGCAAGGCCCATCCATAGCTAGTGAACAGCCTCACGGGCTTGTTCATCAGGTCTGTGTGACTCAGTCCTCAGCACTGCACTATACTTTCATAGTCGTGGGAATGTGCAAGGAATGCCCTGGCTTCCTTTTTCTGCCCTATGGTACCATACCTAGTTGCTTGAGCATCTTTATTGTAAGAAGACAGTATAAATGCAAGGAAGAGTCTTTCGCGTGAGTTTTCTGTGGTTCAAATTATCACCTTCCCATAGACGCAAATGTAGTCTAAATGAAATACATTGGGCACCTAGTTAACCTGAAAAGCATGGAGTTGATCTGGGCTTCTCCAGGCACCGGTTTCCATCCTCAGTCAGCAAGCAGCACGTGCTCAAAACATAGTAGGGCATAAAAAGTGGGACCTGTGCATGTGGGATGACTTAGCTTCTGGGGACACCTTCGCAAAGGGTCTTGGGCCCAGGTAGTGCGCTCACGGCTCCCTTGAGCCACTCTGGCCCGGGCATTTGGGAGGGGCGCTCATCCCCCAGGCTGTTTAGGACCGTGGTGATAGGGAAGAGGTTGATGAAGGAAAGAAGGTGGGGCAAGCAGGCCGCCCTGCTTCCCGAAAGCCTTCTGCTTGGTCCCCTGCGGGACAGGTGTCGCCCGGGTGCCCATCTTTAGAGCTCGAGCTGGGAGCTGGGAGCTGGGCAGGGACTGCTGCTCCCCCCACCCCCGGGGGCGTGTTTGCGCGTGCGCGCGCGTCGCTGTGGTAACCGCGGCGGCGGAAAGGCGCTGAATCACCGGCGCGCGCTTTTCCAGCTCCTGCAGAAGCTGCCGCGGGGGGCGCGCGGGGGTCCTCCGGGGTTGCATCCTTACTAGACCCAGGCTGACCCCGGCGGGCCTGACCTGCCCGGCGCAGAGCCGGGCGCGGGAGCGGTGGCCGCGATCGCTGTCACTGCTGGAGGTAAGAGCGCAGCAGTAGCCTCCACCTGTCTCGGCTTTGAGCTAGAGTCGCTCCTCCGGGGCTACGTCCTGGGGAAGAGAAAGCGAGGGTTTTGCTCGGATGGGGCGGTAACCTCCTCTCTAACAGCAGATGCGCGCGCCAGTGTGTGAATGTGGGTGTGTGTGAGGCCGGGAGATGACGACGACGAAGAGCAGGTGGGACGGCGGTGAAGCTCCGAGCCAGCTGCATCGACTGGGGCGAGCTTCAGTGTCGCCAGCAGCGACCCCAGGTACAGTATCCTACCTCCCAGCCCGGCTGGCGGAGTGATGGGAAGGGAGGGCAGCAAGCAGGCAGGTTATGCCAAAGAAAAATAGAATCAGGACGCCTGAGTTTAGGAGGTGAGTTTCTGAAGGTTCTTCTGGACATCTAGGAAAGGGCATTTCCTGATTGCTGCATTGATTGATTGTTTCTTAGTAGGGTGGGGTCGGGGAAATTTGCATATTTTCCCAACCTTATGAATGGCATTTCTTAGACCTGTAGAATCGTTTTCTTTAAACTTCGTTTAGTAATATTTAAGTGATCTTGCTGCCATTTGCTAAATTCATTTTGTCTCTCTACCTTACCATAATCTGAAGCTTAAAGCCTTTTAATGGCTTTTCTCTTATTCCCTTTGAACTTCCTTCATGAAATGGATATTAATAAGATATTATTAATCAAGAGCATAAACCTGAAATTATGCAAGTCATCATTCTTTCGATCATTCGTTCTCTTAATTATATGGAGAGAGAAAAGAATATGATATACAGTCATGTCCATT